GCACGGTACGCCCGGAATGGTACACTGGGAACGGTACACTCGGGGTTGGCCAAAAGGGTGAAAATAGTACGGCGTTATTTAGAACAACTGTGCCTTTGGCCATCGAACGAATGGCACTACGGTCGGAGGGAAGGAACGAGAAGGGCGGAGACCAGGGGGTTGCGAGGGACCAAGGGGGTTGCGAGGGACCAGGGGGTTGCGAGGGACCAGGGGGTTGCGAGGGACCAAGGGAAAACGAGATGGAGGGATTGGAAACGGACCAGACGATTCACGCACCCGGCCACAAAAACTATCCTTTGCATTTCTCGCCGCGATTCCTTTCAAGCACGGGCAAACGTTCGATCCCGTTCGCATGGGCTTGTCCAAGAAGATTGGATCGCATTGAAGCGGGGACCTTGGAATTGAAGGGCCGTCCTGGCCTTCCGGCCGCGATGAAGAAGTGACTGGACGGTATATAAAACGGTGTACCGAATCACTTACCTGGTATTGGATTGCCGCGCGACCCTTTCCGGTCGTTCCACGAGCGGGACGCGATCGACAGAGACGAAGGCGGGTAAATTATTGACCTGGGACCCGGCCTCCTCTTTTTCGCCGCTTGAATACCGAATGGACCTCGAATTTCATCCGGCCGAAACAGGCTCGTAGCTCGCCGTTAAATACGCTTTTTCCCTCTGCGACGAGCACGAGGTCGTACACCGATGAAACCGAATTCGTGACAAAAATCGGCAAAAATAGCATCGCGTAACGGTAGCATGATTAAAATTGTCAGTGATAGTTGTTTGCGCGAGTGCCGGTTTTATCTGTGCGAATGCGAATGAGAATGAATAAGTGAAACTCATTTGCGATGATATTAATATAATATGTGCGAACACAGTCTAGTATGAATGATGTTTAACAAAATGGAAGAATGTGTTAGAATAAAACAGTTATGTGAGAATCGTCAACGGGGAAACATGGGTATGTAACGGTTAATAAAAATAAAGAGTTTAAAAAATAAAATAGTTTATTGCGAGTTGTTTTCATTATTTAAATATTTTTGTCTAAATATATTAATCTGTTAACTGTTAAAAAACGTAGAAGATATTGGTGTCCATTTCTATCCACAGTTTGCTCGATATAATCGTGGTTAAATGCCAGTTTGGAAACGTGTGGCAATTTTTCATAAGTTTGTTTTATTTCAGAGTATCGATAATTGGTCGATTTTTGTTGAACCCTTGAGCGATTATGTCATACTACGTACTGCGACTATAGTCTATAGTCAATTCACAAAATGTATACAGGGTGTCGCACTATTTGATACCGTAACAAATCTCGTGGACCACTCGTTGTCTAACAAAACAGTAGACCTCGAATAAACCCTCTGCACTCGATGATTTTTCAGCTAAAGAAGAGCAGGAGGTCAAAGATATACTGCTATAAAGCTGACGTACAATTGATTTCGATACCTCGCACACCGTTACAGTGTCTCAAATTTCACATATTAATTAATATCGATCTTTGAATTTTTATCAAACGGTGACTGAAGGGAGCCTTTGAAGTGCAAAGGGTTAACTAAAAAATATTCACACGCGAAGGAATCAATTACATCGATTAAATCTTCGATCAATTTATTTTTCGTGTCAACTCAATTGCAACACCCTGTATATACGAATTATCAAATTTCTTGTATATTTTGTAGATCTTGCGTCGATTCGTCGCATTAAACAATCTTCGATTTTTAAATTCAATCTTCGATTTACTATTATACTAGGTTACTATGCTATTTAACCTAACCTAACCTAATCAACCGTAGAGCCTCGTAAAATTGGCAGGACCGTGGAACAGACAATGAACAATTTCTTTTTTCCATCTTTAAATTGCGTCGCGTGTTCTGTTTTTGGTCATATTTCCAAGTTTAGACTAAATCTACGGGGTGTATTATGCGTTGGAGGGAAAAGGGACGTTGATGGACGATGTCTCTTGTTTCGTGACTTTTGCTGCTCCACTGTCACGCCGCATCGGGAAGTTTCGCGTGATCAATAGTGGAAAAACGCGTGGCGACCGATCAATGGCGATTGTGTACCGTTGTCATGCTTCGCGTCGTTTCCCATTGATATCTACGGTGTCGTTCCGTTTCGACCCTTTCGACCCAGCGACCCACGAACAGGGTTTACAGCGTTCGACATAGAGTTCGGACGACGACGGCTTTTCTCTACGTTTTTCGCATCTTCCCTTCGACGCTTCCTCTCTGATAGAAAATGTACAACTCTGAATGGCCTTATCGGTGGCTGATTGTCTTCGGCCGACGAAATGTTTGTAGTATATCAATCGCGTGACAGCGTGACCGAAACGTTCGATACTGCAAAATTGTACGTCTTTCTGCGTGTATTTCTCGCTCATCCACCATGGTTTACGAGATATTTCGAAGTTCCTTGGATTGGTGGTACGATCCCGTACGATCAAAGTAACGATCGATATTTTAAGTGACGAAAATTGACGAGAAACTCGATAAATCTGACCGAGAGTTTGCCACGAATTTAGAAGAAAATCCTACGATTCTACTGCAGGTAGATAGCACGTGGATCAGCGAGATGCATCGAATTAAGAATTCCTATCGAGGAGAAATTTAATTTAGGCGTGAAACAAAATTGGAACGTTGACTAAGAATGGAATATTAACTCGTCAGCAGAGTCGCGGGTATTAATTCCTCCGATTCGGTTCTGGATCATATGTCGATAGGTGAATGGGGTGATCGAGTCGCGCAAGAAATTCAGCCCGAAGGATGCGCCGTGCATTCTTCCGTGACTTAATTTAATCACGGATGGAAGGTCTATATTCCTCATTGCGGGAGCCTCCGGCGAAATTGAATTTTATTCAATTCGTTCATCGAGCTAATCAATTGATCCTCTATATTCTATTCCTGTCGCCCCGCGTCCTACCGTGTATTCTATTTATTTCGATATGCGGTATATAGCGATGAGCTAGCTTTGTCCACGGGTTGAGAAAAGTGGTCGAAAATTGGGGAATTTTTAAACAAACTTATGTATTTCCACGGATCGTTGCGGCTCCTTATTTCTTACGATGAAAGTACTGTGGTATTGTGAGCTGGGAAGGACACTAGCAAAGGAAACAGTATTAAGAGGGTTAGGCGTTTAGGGTATCATCTGGAGTGCACGCGGATGACCACGTGCAAAAATTGTATGGACGAGATATTTATGCCCGGATCGAGTGCAAGCAACGAACGAAAGTCCAGGAAATGAGTGACCAAAAAAGAGAACTTGCAGATGAAAAGAGAGAGTGCTAAACTTCAACGCGTTAAGTGCCCAGCTCGTTTTGCTTGCCGTTCCCATTATAGACACAGTCTCGGCCGTCAAGTGAGCCATCAGCGACGGCCAAAGTGTTCGTAAAACTCGGAGATACTGTACCAATTGTTATAAGAGGAATTCCCAAACGTTAGGTCCAAAGATGGCGAAGAATTTAACACCAAAAGTTCGCGCCTTTTGGTCCTAGTCTGAGCCGGAACCCTAGAACCGACCGGGTCCAAACGAAAGTCTGGTATGGCACTTAACGTGTGAAATAAGGGTGCAAGGGCGCAGGTAGAAACGCGTGTAATCGAAAGGTAACGAGTAGAGAATCGTGTGTATGAGAGTCAGAGTTGAGGGAGACCTAGTGTAATATTTTAGCGCAATAAATCTGTCTTGCTATTGAAAAGGAGCCATTGCTTATTGGACGCGCAGATCTCTATTTAGCTGAATGGATTTAAATGGGACACCCTGTATATCGTAACGACAGGAATAAATGTTGATAAACAGGAGAAATCGATGCACACAACACGCGATCTGTATTCGGATAACGAAGTGGAACGCAGCCAGACGACTTTTAATATAACCAGATGACTTTTAGTCGCACGGATCGTTGTGGATGATGTCAAGGGAATTTTATCGGGAAGCGCAAAGCGCCTTCTCGTGAATTTAATATCGCGAACCGGGATTTTTGCTGCCCGTTTTCCACGATATGGGTAAGAAGCAGACGGAAATATGGGAAAAATGTCAATTACATTGACAGTTTTCGGTTCGGGAGCAGCGCGGGCCCCCTGTCTCCGGTTAGCACGGCCGGGAACGCGTTTGTTTTCGATTTTACCCCAACTGTGTATTCCGTCTTGCCGGTCGAACGAGATATAACGAGGTTAATAAGGGAGCCAGACAGCGTAACGACGGGGGTTAACCGTGCTAGGCACGATCCTTACGTTTCGGCTAGGTTGTATCTCCACGGATGATCCACTGCTTACGGGATTGTTCGCGGAAATTGCATCGTATCGAGCCGTAGAAACGCGACGAATCCGCATTCCTGAAAATCCTATCCGCGTGTGATCGGCCCTGTGTGACTCTTGTGCACGAAAGCTCGTGCCGGAGTAATGCCACGTAGCCGTGCCTTATCGCGGGACTCGCTGTTAATCTAGTGGTATTTAATGTAATGTAAGCACGAGTGAAATTAAGAGGTATAATTTTTCAGCGCGACTTATAATTCTGTCGGGAATTATGAAAATGGTTTAAAAAAAGAATTTTCCACTTATTTCGTATTATATCTATTTATTAAATATTTATCTATTCATTTATACGTGTATTTCGACAATAAAAATGAATTTTGTTATACAAAAATTAATTACACATTTACAGAGATATTTCTCAATCAAAGCGACGAATATTTCTTCCGAATTGTTCGAATAAGATCCATCGAAAATTAGGTTAAACGCGAGTATTTTAATTACACAGAATCCCGATGTTAATTGAAATCGGAGAATGCTCGAAACGATGGATGGAACGATGTCCGTCAATATTAATTTTGAAATTTGTTATTAATTCAGACCGATGACGCGAGTTCGTTGAATTATCGGAGCTAATGGGAAGGAGTTTAGCTGAAATTTTCGGGCGTTTGTTCAAGAGCATCCACGCAGTTTACCCGGTTTCGGTTGTCTGTGCTAAACGTGGATCTATCGGACAGTGACTTATCGCTTCACTTACCAAGTATAGGATTCCCACGGTGCGTTGCGAGACCACCAAGCGTGAGTACGTGCGAGTGATCCGCCGTCACGACGAGAAGCGTCTCTGACAAGTCGACTTCCTTCATCACGGCCCTCACAGCTTCCTCCAGCGCCAATGTTTCGTCCAACGCTCGATACGCATTGTTATAGTGATGCGCGTGGTCAATTCTGCCACCTAGAAACAGGTAAATGGTCCTTTCGCGTTAAATCGCACGTCTGATTAACCGTGAAGCGAAATCCCCCGACAGGAGGATTGCGATTTTGCAAATTAACTAGAATAAATGAGAAACATCGTCGTAGACGAGAAACTGTCGTTAAAATTATGCGGATAAAGAACGTGTACGGAATAATTACTTTCGTCGCGTAAATTATATAGAACAAAAAAGCTATTGTTAGAATGGAAATCGAGTATTTAAAATAATTATTTTTAGTTATTTAAACTATATGGAATAAAGGAACTATTGTTACGAAATGTCTAACAATAATGAACACAGAATTTTGTAAGCGAAAATTATTATAATTACGCTCGGCAATTCGAGTTACGTGGAATAAAAGAGATATTGTTAGGAAGGACAATGTGTGTTTAAAAATAATTAACATAAAATTCCGTGGATAAAAATCGTACAGAAAATAATTGTTTTTATCGATAATTATTGGTAATTATCGGTACACAAATTTTATAACTATCAGGTTATTACTTCTGATGGAAAATGGAAGATAATTAAATTTTGATTTTGAAATGTCGAAGCATTTAATGGAAAATATTTTCCTTGTCCATGCTCGAAATTATTACATGGTTTAATTTCGTTTTAGATAATTACAATTAAATCTGTTTTTCTATATTTACCGATTATACGAAAGTTATTAACCTAAATTTCTCGTCGTACATGTCACAGGAGTCTGATTTCAAAGGTTTTCGGATTAAAGGAAAGCTCAACCACGTTGCACGAAATACCTTTCGATAAAGCTATCCAGCCAACAAGTTCTATTCAGTTAAAAATCAACTTTAGGTGCACTTTGAAAACCCCCTAGACGCGAGTAACTTTAAAATCAATATTGTCACGTTGGAGAAAGCTGCGCTATAATCCTATTAACGATTTTTATATTTTTTAAGTATATTTTAAGCGAACTTTTAACTTCCTAAAAGCAAAAAGGTAAACTGTAAACAAAAGAACAAGCACGCACCCTCCACGCGAAACGCTGCGCGCATGAACGAAATGACAGATTTCGCAAAAAGCGGATTTAACGATTAAACCTTCCATCGCCTGACCTGCAGACAGCTTTCTGAATTACGTTCGTGACGTTAGCTTATTCTGATACATTATATAATTTCATTTCCCCGAGTGACTTCGCCGTCACATCATGAAAATGTTATAAAAATACGCGGACAACCTACACTTTGGAAATCGTTATAAAAATTAATTTACCTATGACAACTTTGTATTCGACGCAAAATTAGGAAAACTACGGAAGCATGGAAATTCTAAACCTACAGAAATTACGAATACTATGAAGCTACCCGAGCTACGAGTAGTCACAGCGAAATATACTATGCATATATATTATTTAAGGAATAATAAGTGATATATAATATATATGTGGTATTATCAACTGGGAAGGACTCTAGCAAAGGAGACTGTGTTAAGAGCGGTATCAAGAATTGTATGGATGAGATATTTATGATCGAGTCGAGTGCAAGCAACGAACGAAAGTCCAGGAATGTGTCCGAGGGTCTGAAGTACTGGCCCACCGAGGATGAATTCACGCGGGAAACGAGTGATCAACGAAGAAAACTTGTGTACGAAAAGAGAGAGTGTTAGACTTTAAACAAAGTCCCTTAAATAAGGGTGCAAGGGCGTGCGTGAGGCAGAATGCGTATAGTCAAGACATAGCGAATAGGGAACCATGTGTTTGAGAGTTAGTGTAATATTTTGGTTTAAATAAATCTGTTTTGTTATTAAAAAGGAATCGTTGTTTATTAAATTTCTGTCAGCATAGGATTAACCATTTGCACTAGAGAGGTGCCTTTCAGTCACCGTTTGATAAAATTTCGAAAATCTATATTAATTAATATGTCAAATTTAAAATAACGTAACAGTGTGCAAGGCGTCGAAATTAAATAAATAATATCGTCAGCTTTGTAGCAGAAAATTTGTCAACTCCTACTCTTCTTTGATCAAAAAATGGTCGAATGCAAAGGGTTAATCCAGCAAAGGATTAATCCTACATATACATAAAGGAAATACAACTCGAAATAACTCTCTCCCTCTCTCTCTCTCCCTCTTTATGTCTTCCTTCGACCTCTCGCTAGTGCTTGACACTATGCTTGACAAGACACTGCCCCCTCGAAAGGATGGTCCCACATTTTCTCTAATTTTTCTTTAAACTACCCTTATCCCTGTGGTCGTCGAAAATATCGCAGAACCATCGATGGACTGTTCGTCGACGAACGTTTTCGTTCTGTCTACCCACTTTCACTCGTTATCTCTTCCACGACCCTGTTCAGTTTAGGCTTGCGATACTGCGATGTAAAATTAAATAATTTATTTACATATACAAAATATCACGGTATATTCCACGCTTACACCCCGAAAACCCGGGTCCCCAAACGAACCGACAAGTCACGAAAATAAGAGGTTAGGGAACGACATCCCGGAAGAGCGATTTATTCTGCTGGAATTGCTAATAACTCGCAATGGCTGTTACCTCCTGGCAATCTCGAATGGCCGGGGAAACCGAGGAAAGAAGAAACGGAACCACGGGGGAATTACAGATCCGAAGCAGGGGAACGGGCGTCATCAGCATTATCGTCGAACTGGCGTTTGGGAAAGCACCGTGGTCGTTGCAGTTAACGCTAATTATTCAGAACGATCCGCAAGAATCCCGGATTCAATTATCGAGCCGGGGAACGACGCCGGCCCTGCAATGGATTACCGAAAGTTCGACATAAAGTTCAACAGTGCGCCACTTAGAAACGATCCGGAATGCCCGGATCGATATCGCGCGGCGTCGTGGCGCGTGCGTGATGCTGGGAATCAGCAACGAATCGGTTTCAAGGCAGGATCCAAGCAATCGGGGATGAAACGGGACATCCCCCTGGAGCTCGACCTTAGGGTATCACGCTAAAAGGTTCGACGGTGCTTGGAACCGGTTCGCCGAGACCAGACGACGCCCCTGGCTAACAACGACCATACGATTTTACTGTCGAACATTAATCCTGTCTCATCCCACGTTACGCGTAAGTTGTGAATGAACGCACTGCGTGCGTAAATATACACGGTCGTACGATGGCCGGTGTTTACGAGGCTGGGGAAGATTGGTCGGGGTGAAGAAGATTGCGTGAATGACATTGGCGAGGGGAATCGATAGCGTGTTTCGTGCTTTGGAAATTTAGGGTAGCTTCGCGAGGGGTGATTAACGCTAAATCTACCACGCTCGAATGACCGGTGAGTGAAAAAGCGATAGAATTTTTGAGGAACGTAATAACGAGAGACATTGAATGGTGGCTTGCACGTATATTGGAAGAAAAATCGCGGAGACGAGTGACAATGGTCATGGTAAGTCTTATATTAACCTTTGTGCTTTGAAGGAGACCATCGGTAGCCATTTAATTAAATTCCGAACACATTAATTAATATATCAAATTTAAAATATCGAAACGATGTCTGAAATATGGGAGTATGATAATTTTACGTAAATTTTCATACGATTTTCTTTAGAAATATCGTCGACTTTAAAATTCCTCTTCACCCCCAAAATTAGTGTATCAAACGACAATCTATAAATCTGTTGAACAGCGAAATATTTAATATATGGAGATTGATAATTAGAAAATTTTTCTGATACACGATTTGTAACTTTAAGTCTTATCGACGAAGTTCGTGGAATAATTTTTACATTTCGCAACCATCCGCGATTTGCGAAATCTCGTCAGAAGCGTCCACGTCAAACGCAGCCTTATTTCGCGATGACACTGTTACATTTGCACATTGTCGTCGGAATTGCGTGAAATTCGTCAATCGACGCGTAATAATAGAAGCAGGGAATTTCGGTATGATTATTCGCGCCGAATCGTACGTAACTCAGCCTCCCCTCGCGCTGCTGCCAGCGATTACAGTTTCAGAGATAATTACCAATATAACTACATCACTTAATACAGCAGCCAATATTAATTTACCATCTATCGTACGAAGCGATATTTTTGCATCGAATATCGCGGGCCTGTAACAGGGACCATATTTGCCAAATCGTATCGGTAAACGATATCGACCATTAATTAGAGAGCTTATCCAGATAGACATTGATCGGAGGACCTTTATCGTCGCGTTTAAACGGGAAATATTGCAACGAGTGTTAAGGAATACCGATGAGTAATAATATCACCGTCGACGATTGTTGTCATGAAATATTTTTCCCTCTGTGTACTCGCAAGCGTGCTTCCTATAAATCATCGTGATAAAATATGAACGGGTATGTCTACGATTAAACCACTGAGTGCAACGATATATCCCGGGCATACCCACGAATATGCAATCGTTGATCTCGACGTTCAATCTATCCCATTATTTCGAACGATGCTACCCTTCGTAGATCCAAGATGGCGAAACGTGTCAATCGAATCGTTTAAAAAATTGAAACATGTCGTTTCGAATCAAGCGACGACCTTTGTTTCGTTTCGTTTTTCTGTTTGTTCTTTTGCTATTTCTCGAATCAGTATTGCGAAAAAAATATTTCATATCGCTTCTAACGATGCTATCCTTCGTAGATCCAAGATGGCGAAACGTGTCAATCGAATCGTTTAAAAAATTGAAACATGTCGTTTCGAATCAAGCGACGACCTTTGTTTCGCTTCGTTTTCCTGTTTGTTCTTTCGCTATTTCTCGAATCAGTATTGCGAAAAAAATATTTCGTATCGTTTCTAACGATGCTGCCCTTCGTACATCCAAGATGGCGGAACATACGAGTCGAATCGTTTAAAAAAATTACAGAATCTCTTCGTTAAATAAACACCCATTGTTTTATTTCTCTATTCCTTTCCCCATTTCCCTTTATATTTATTCTCTTCCCCCGGATCAATATAGCGGAAAAAATATTTCGCAAAAATAGTGGATCATTCCTGTTCTCGACGGGGACACGTATTCGAAAGCGCGAAATTTATGCGACTGTACCTCCGTA